TATGTTTACTTTGAAACAAACCTTCTTGTTTCATGTATACTTAAGAAATTAGTAACTAAAAAAGATTTTTTTCCTCAAAAACATGAAGTCAACTGGAGTTGACTTATAGTAGTGATATGTAAAATGAAAAAAATATCTTCAGCTATCAGTTGTCATTTATTACCCATTTTCATAATTATTTAAAAAAATGGGGAAGCAATCAAAGGCTTTTGTAGGCTTACAGCCATATCAAATTGAAACACTTGCTCTTGTATGATCATTGAATTTAGACAATGTTGAGCCTGGTCAGTAGGTGACTGCTTGAGAATGCTAGGTGCAGTAATCTTGGATGTGAGGGTGGTGTAATGGATAATGGCTTGGAATTGGAACTTGGAAAGCTGAGTTCCAATTCCAGTTGATATTGTTATATTCACTTTCATGCAAATACTCTTGGGGAAAAAGTATGAATCCACCTCTTCTTCCCCAGCTATGGGTTAATTAGTAAAACTTGCATGTGTAAATAATTATCTTTTAAAAGAATTCTTATAATCTAAAAATATTTTCTGGCTTTAAAAGGTTAAGACATAAAAAAAACAATCTGGCTTTGTAGTTAAATTTATTTTCAGTTGTGAAGAAATGGTTTTCAAATACTTTATTTGTTAGTAAAAATTATTTTTTGTTCAAAAAGGCTTTGTGACATTTGGATGTTCTTACGATGTTAAAACATTTTTCATTTGATCTTTATCAGTTGTAAAGAAAATGAATTTTAAAAAGTTTATATAGATTTAATAATCAGATTTATTACTATTGAAATAACTATCAAAATTCACTTAATTATATATTTTTCTATCTTGTTTATATTTTTTGTTATATTCACAATGTTGTACTATACAGCCTTTTTCAGCTATCTGTTATACTCACTAACCTCTTGGAATTATGAACCAAACCCTTTATTTAATTCATGACCATATTTATTACAATGTTTCGGCCATTGTATGCTCTGGCCTTCTTCATTGGAATATCAAAGTTATTTTTATTTTGTTCACTGGGGTAGACTGTTCTAGTTCCATGTTTAATGGATTTCAGTTATCTCCTGTTAATTTCCCACAAGCTCTCCACTGCTTTAACCTGGTATTGAACTCACATTCTTTGGGTCCTATCAAACCAACACCTTTATCCTCTGTGCCATGTGTCTTTGAGGACATCTGTGTATGAATTTCTAGGTATTATAAACCTAATGTCTTCAGCAACCGTTTTTTTTAAGAGCTCATATTGCAATTTTTGTTGTTATTATTGCTTCTGGCACTCCTTATTACTAGTGCCCATATTGTATTCATTTCTATGCTTGGTTGGCTCAGAAGATTTAATAACAAAAATTGCAATATGTACATAATACCTCATCTCAGAAATATAGACAGATACTCATGGGAGTAAGTTGTTCTCATTCTGCTCTTTCCATTCTTAAAGGATCTTACATCAATTAAGATTCACTTATTTTAATATTTTAAAGGAAAAATTATTAAAAAAAAACGTTTTAATAATGAAACTAGTGTGGCTGGAAAAGAATAAAAAAAAAAGTGAATGTTTTCCTTTACCAGACACACACATTATTGGTCAGTGCTTTTTTTTATGATGGGGAGGGGAAAGTGTTTATAAACTAAGTAAACATGGGTGGAGATAAGATAGAAATAATCAGAAACTACTAGAAGAGGTCATACTGTGGGTCATAAAATGTTAGGGTGAGTATTATTGTATATTGTAATTAACTCTATAATATATTGTCTCTTTTTCTATAAATTTTTTAACTTTAATTCATTGGCAAAATTATTTATTTTTGGTTATGTTATTAATGAATATTCCTCCAACATCAATTCTTTTTCCATTGGAAAAAAAAATGAGAAAATCTTTTTTTCTTTTTTTTTTTTTAAATTGTATCTATGAAAAATGCAAGTTTTTGTTTTTTTGTCCCTTGGTCCTCTTGATAATTTTAGCAGCTAAAACTTTCAAATAAAAAAAATTGATGAAAAATTTTGAATTTTATTTTCTAATGACATTATGGAAATGTGATAAAGAAAAGCCACTTTCAGGTTGAAATATTCTGCTGTGACTGCAGATTTGTTTGAGTGGTAGTTGATGTCAACCATCTGTGGTGCAGGTAGGTGATATATTTACATAGGTGCACTTTACTGCAGTTATTGATTATGCACTTTGCTTTCTTGATCCAGTTTTACTAATATTCATTTATTAACAATTGAAAAACAGCAATAGATGGTTAAATATGCTTTATACAAAAGATAATATTTCTCAGGAAAAGAATGTTTTAAGATCCATGAAAAGATCTTCAAGCACAGTGGAAAAGAATGGAAAATTAACCAATCTCAATGTCATGTTCTTACAATTTCCCAATAACCTCTACAGGAATGTCATAAAATATTTATAAAAAGTTATTTGTTATTTAAAACTAATGTGACTATATTTAAAAAAAAAAAACAGTTGTTTTTAGGAAAAATTGCATCAGTTTGGTATGACATTGAACTGCTTTCTTTTTTAGTGTTTTGTACATTTGATGTCCAACTATCCTGAGATCTTTGCTATCTTTTGTACCTTGATAGGTTTTATGAAAGCTGACATTTAGTCTTTCTTTTTTTCTGTTTTCAACTTAAACAATTGAATGTGAAGAAAGCAAGATAATGAATTTGTTCATAAAGTAAAATTAGATTAGTATTCAAATTGATAATAAATTTTAGTTGATTCAAAGTCTTGTAAGAGAAATGTTTTTGTTTTAATTAACTGATTAAGGCTAATGAATATATAAAATATTGTGCAGATATAAATATAATTCAGTGAAGCAAAATAAATTATTAAATTATTTTTCATTTAAATCTACATAAATGATAAATTTATTTCTGTATGTTATTGTCATGTTACATAATAGATTCTTCTCTTTCTCTTTAAAAAGCAAGGTTGATTGATGTGTATCAATATAAAAAGCACTTAGCTGGATTAGTAGCATGTTTATTTCTCTAATGTTGTAATTCTACTAAATAGTAGTAAGCCTGAACCTTAACCGTCTTGCTTACATCTTAACTACTGCTGCTAAAGGCTATTGATTGCTTTCTCTTTTTGCAGAAAGCCAAATTGAATCAAGTACAACTTGCTAGTGAATCTGAACAGTGTGTAAAGGCCGTCTCTGCCTACGACTGCTAGAAATCTGTGATGTATGGGGAGACCAAGTGCACATGTACCTGCTTTATGATTCACTTTACTTTTTTTGTCAAATTAATAAAAATTGTAGATGTTGAAAATTAGTGAATCAAGAGAAGAATGATCGATTATTCCGGTGGATGACGGATTTGTTAGTCTCCTTTCTTTATGGGGGCACGTTGTAAATAAATAAAAAGAGCATCACATCCTCTTTTTTTTTCCCGCATGAAATCCTTAGAAATCCCACAAGCTGCTATTTTGATCAGCCTTTTCACTGCCGTCTTTATAATTTATCATTAAAGCGTTTCTTTAAATTTTCAAATTAGGAAGCGGAAAAAAAAAACATTTCTATTTGTTTGGGGGTCCTTTTTCAACTTCGTTGAAGAAATCACAACAAACGATTAAAAAAAAAATCTTATCGCTTGCAACAAAAAAAAAACCCGTTGCCCATCCTCCAAGTCTCCGTGGGATTCTTTTCGAAATCAAAAAAAGCATGGTGTGTAAATCGATGATGTGGTCGGTGGAAAATTTTGATTGGTTTGGCTAGGAAACGAAAGGTATGATTCAGAATGCCGTGGTCTGTTAGTTAACCGGGGAAAAAAAAGAAAACTGGTAGAATTTAAAAGAAAATCTATAAAGATTTTTTTTAGTTTTCACCTCAAAGATGTTCAACCTTTCATTCACCCTTTTTATTCTATTCATTACTTGAAAATTAAAAAAAAAAGTCTAAAGTAGCCAATGTGTTTCAAGTTGTTAATAAAGAAAGATTAATTTAAGAAGAAGTCCGACTATATCACCTGGTTGTTACGAGGTTGCTTAGTAGGTACTATAAGTCATCTGCGGCTAGTAGTGTTGTTGAGTGATATGACACAATTTTCTATTATAAACTTGCTTCCTTGTTGCCGGCTGTTGTGCGTGCGTGTGTGTCTGGTGACCAACTCCTTTGTCCCTCAACAATACCCACCAATTCGTAACAGTAACACTAAAACGAATATGACTACTGCTGCTTAAATGGTGATTAAATACTCTAGTCTACTATTTCTATGATGACCATGGGGTTGTCTGTTTCGAGGAGAAATGTTACCAGTTACCTGCTTGATTATCTGCTAGTCAAGCTGTCTGCTACAAAGGGTTGCAACAGCCAAAACAGATACTCATTCGTTTATATGCCACTGACAAGGAGTTAATAAATACTCCTTCACAGCTACAGTTAAATGACGTACACTAGCAAAGGAGGAGGTTAAATAAAAAAAAAAAAGTGATTGTTATTGCTTGTAAAAAAAAAATACGCATTTATTGGCGAATCATTTCTCTCCTCGATCGTTTAAGTTTTTAAATATCTTCTTGACCTTTCAAGCAGTTTTGTTAAATTTTCTCTCTTGCTGCCCTGATCACCAAAACGTGGCACACCATAGGAAAAAAAAAAATTATATACGAATTCTCTTAGGAAAAGAAAATCTTTCTATCTGGTCGACTAATGCAAGAGATATTTCCGCGATGAAAATGCATTTTAAATATTATTGTCATTTATTATTTTTCTCACTCTAAATAAATGACCTCGTCGTCGTCGTCGTCATCAGCTGGTGGATTTGGATGTCATTTTTCACAAGAACGGTGGGATGTGAAGACTAAATCTTTCTCACGCTAAAATTAACTCACACACAATGAAAATAGATTATTATTACATTTGTTGACGTTTCTTTGTAAATTGATAAACGTCTATAATTATCAACGAAGAAGTCAGTTGGGACACGTTGAATTTTTTGAAAAGGCTGAACTTTTTTTTTGCACCTAAGCTGATTGATTTGTTTTGAAAGTGCCTCTTTCGTCTTCATTCAAATACCGACATATAAAAAATTAGGAATCGGTTTCGTTAGGAGCAATCTGCTGAGGTTTGTATAATTAATTAAATTAATAATAGCTATCTTTCTAACGTTGTCTGTTAAAAAATAATTATCTTGTGGCTCTGAAATTGTTTTTTTTTTTTAATTTAGAAAGAATCTTAAGCGAAGTGTTTTTGTTTTTTCTTGTTTGACTTTTGCAGTCATTGATTTTGACATTTTGTTGTAGACATGTGTGACTGTGCGTGTATTGACTTGAAACATTGTTTTTTTTTTGCTACATATACCTATATATACATATATTTTTTTTCTTTATTTATTCTTTTGCCGCTAAACAGAAAACATTATTAATTTGTGGTCCTTTGGATCTTCCGTAGGTCACGTGACACAGAAGCCACCATTACCAACCAGAAGTTCTTATTTAACACCTTTTAATTGTCGAAATTATTAAACAAGAAGATTTATTTCATTTTCCCGTTGTTTGCTGCGGAATAAAACTTAAATTGCAATATAATACTTTTATTTAACTTTCAAGTATTAAAAAAATAGTCTGTAATCACAATGATCATTCATCTTCTGTCAAAGCGCGCAGATTTTCCCCCATGAAATTTCAGTTTTGTTTGTCATACGAAATAATAATAAAAAAAAATCTGCATATTCAGTATATATTCACGTATAATAAAATCTAAATTTATTTATGTAAACAAAATAGCGAATATTATTCGTTTTAACTGGTTTTAGATATTTTAGTTCCCTTTGAAGGCGGAAAAAGTCATTTTTTTAAAAAAATCTCTCATCATCATCATGATGGCAATTTATATTCGTTTTCTTTTTAGCTAAACAGTTTTTGTATTTCATCTTAAAAACACATTTTTACATCTTTGAAAACAATGTCAGTAGAAAATCTTGAGTCCTTTTCTTCTATTGTTTTAATCTTTTTCGCTATCAGATTTTTTAAATGAATTCTTTTTTAAATTTTATTTCGAGAGGTTCTGAAAAAAAAAGAAAAAAAAAAAAAAGAATCAGTTCTTCAGACCAAAACAAGTCGTTGTCATGATGAATGACAAACAACACAAAAACTGTAGATAACTTTTTTCTTACTTTGTAGAACATCATTTTCCTCCTTCTTGTCAAAACAAAATCATGATTTAAAAAGAAAAAAAGAAAAGAAAAACACCATTTCTTTTGAGGTGACCTTCAAGAAACTGGCGTAGATGTTTAAAATTATTATTTTTTTTAACCAGTAATAAGAAAAAAAAATGCAAGATTCACGAAAATCTGTTTCATTTTTCAGTTTGAGTGGAAAAACCGTTTGTTTATTTCTTCTTTGTTTTCATTAAAAATAAAATAACAACAAAAACTGTAGATTTATTAATAATATATTGTTTTGTTATGAATTATTAAATGAAGCCATGCTTTTTTTTGTTTTTATAGAGAATCAATTTCTTCCTAAAGTCAAAATTATACGCAGTTAGTCATTAACCCCAAAATTGTTTTTTTTTTATTTCAGGAAAGGAAAATTTTACGCCTATTTTCTTTACAACTACCTTTGAATTTGACGAATATTGTAGCTACTTTTCGTTGTTTTTAAGTAAACTTTACTTTTTACATTTTTTTTTTGTTTAGTTGGATGAACAACAACAAAAAACGATTTTAGAAAAAAAATTGTGTCTGCTAAATCACAAGATTTCAACTTAAGGATAAATTTTATTTTAAAATTTAATCAAAATAATGAACATTTTATTATTTCTATTCTTTTTTTCAATCTGAAATAGAAATAGTTTATTTTCATTACATAACATTTGCGCAAGAAGAATGATTAACAATAATAATCTTCTTTGCAGTACTCCGTAATAGATTATGAAAATTTTTGATTCTGTTTTGTTTTGCACATATTTGAAATAATAACATTTACGAAATCATTCTTTCATTTTCAATTTTTAAATTTGAAAATCAATGGATAAAATTCTGTTTAAACCAAACAAACAAGTTTAAAAACAATTATGCAATTCTTGTTTTTGTATACAAAGTTTAAAGTGAAAAAATATTGATGAAAGAAAATTTTAAATTTGCAAAACTTTGAAAGAATGAAGCTACACATTACAGTAAAGCAGAAAATAAAATGATAATTACTCAAACAGAATTGATGTTTGATAACAAATTGCAAGTAATTCTTTTTTTGTCAACACTTTAAAAGTTCTCTTGATTGGTAACAGAAATTGTTGCAAGTCACTAGAAAATTGGGTTTAAAAATGTCATTATTTTATTTTTTAGATTTTAATAACCGAAAAAAGAAGCTTTTTGTTAAAAAAAAAAAAATGTAATTAGATTTATTTGGAAGATGGAGTGCCCTCATCCTGGCCCCAAAATTTGTGAATACAGTGAAAGTGAAAAAACCTTTAAAATCTTCATGTTGGGTTGGCCAAAAATTACTTCTGTCTTTGTTGCTAGATGGTATTATTAGAAGCATTGAATTTTAACTTCATTCAAAACATTGGCTTTTAAATATTATACTGACAGTTGTCACATCAGAGTATATATATATTTTTTAATTTATCAAAATTGATGTATTTTTGGTTTAACATTGAGAAATAGATGAAAATAAAAAATAAAAAAAAACATTTTTAGTATATTATGTTTTTGTTTTAACAAAGGTATAAATAATAATGTGACTTGGATTCTACTCCCTCCTTCCTCAAATAAAATTTAAAATTTATCTTGTTTAGTTTATAGGAAGTTACTGTAAATGATTGTATGTGTCAAAAGTAGTTTGTGAAATTTTGTGCTGAATGTCTTTCAATGCTCCATGATTGTGTAGACCAGTTGATGTTGGTGACAATCAAATCAAAACATAGCTTGAAAATGATCTGAATATCAAGCATTGAAAATCATTTACATCAGTTTGGTTATGTTAATCACTTATCTACTTGAACCCAAAAAATAAAGAAAGACTTACTGGACTGCATACACTTCACAACTTATGTAAATTTAACAAAACCATACTGTTTTGAAAACAAATTATGTTGGACAAACTGTGTTTTCTTTACAAAATATCATTTTCCTGAAAGACTGCAGAAAGTAGTGAGAGCAATTTTTTGCTAAGGAAGATAAAATTTTCTGAGAATGTAATAAAATATGACAGAAGATAGAACAGTATTGTAAATATGTTATTCAATAATGTTGACAACAAATAAAGAGAAATCTCTTTTAATTTTAACTTAAAATGAACAAACATTTTGGTCACCCAATACTTTGATTTATATTATTTGGAAATCTTTCTCTGTGTGAGATATATATATATATATATATATATATATAATTACAAAAACGTGTTTTTAAAAATACATGGAAATTTGTAACTATTTCAGTTCAAACAAAATTTAAAGCTGATTTAACGGATTGAAAACTGAGTAGAAATAATCACCAATATTTTCTTTACCAATACATTTTTTTGACACTTCTAGAAAGTTTTTTTAAAAGTAAGTATTACAGCCATAAGAACATTGTGACAATAATGTTTATCAGGAAGTGCTGACTGTGGTCTGTGTAGTATACAAAGGACTATATCTTGCACAAGTGGTTTTTTTAGTTTGATATTATCTGAAAACTTATTTGTCATGGCATAAAGCAGAGTTGATGATATTTCATTTATTATGAGCAATATAGCTCAAGACAATTTTTTTAAACATATATATATATATATATATATATATATATATATATATATACACACACACATGTGTAATATATTATATATTATATGCGCGGTACTTATTAGAAAGCACTCAATATCAGTGATAGTTAACATATTTGGTTGGATTGATGTGAATTTGTCTGATGATCGCAAAAGCGTGAGACCCAGGGTCACAAACTCACATCATTCCAACCAAATATTATATAATATATAATATAATATTTTGAACAATAAAGAATATTAAAAAAATTAAAATCTTCAGACACACTGGGTTGTATATTAGTATTCCTTCATTTTTATTATTATTTCATTTAGATTCCTCGACTAGTTTCGGCCAACATGGCCATCATAAGAAAAAAAATGTTCTGCTTGCTGGTAGCAGTGAACTACAGAAATGAATGTCTTGATGGAGAAAATGAACTTTTGTCTGTAGTTTTCATTTGTTTTTTTATTTTTTTTTTAATGCAAATTTTGGTCAAACAGTCTCTTTCAAGTTATTATTTGAGATAAGAGCTGGATGGATTCATGCTGCACTGAATTCCCTGGTCAGTTTGACAGTTTTATTGGTTCCTGGAAAGGGGATGTGTCTCTGTTAAGTGTGTGTGTGTTATTTGGTTCTTAGGGAGTGAGTGAGTATGATGTGTGTATATTTGTGTGGGTGGGTGTATAAGTGTGAGGCCTCAACACCTCCATAAGCATGCCTGTTTTGTGTGGGTGAGAAATGTGGGTAGGTTTTGATTTGTTGGGTTATATATTAATACTATCTATATTGTTAAATTTATGGTTAAGCCCAGCTAGATAGTGAGTTTTTAAACGTTGTATTTTCATGGAACTCTAAAATCTTTCTAATGTTATCTGCTCTGGACTTTTCTATTCTCTCAATTATAGTGAATTTGGCATGGGTTTTAAAATCATGTTTTTCTAGGCGGAAATGTTGTTATACAGGTAGTAATCTTTCATGGGGAGTCGACTTAATTCGATTGTGATAATTAATTATTCTGTAGTGAAAGGGCCATTCAGATTTTCCTACATATTGTTTCTGGCATAGTGTGCATTCTAGGAGGTAAATTATATTATGACTTCTACAGTTAGATTTTGAAAGTAGATTTAGTGACTAAGCTAGTGAATGAATTTGTGTGTTTAATGTGGTTGCAGCATAAGCTTCTTTTGTTGTTACATGGTTGGGAAAATCCTGTTGTTTTTGTTGGTTTATTACAGATTACCTTATCCCCTGGAATATGGTTACTTCCTATGATTTCTTTTAGGTTCTATGATATGCTAGAAGGCCGGGTTCCTCAAACAAATTTTTTAGGTCTGGTTTGAGATGTAGTATTTCCCAGTGACTTTTGATTATTTG